ACGGCCAGTAGCCCTGCGCTCATTCAGCGCATTCAAAGTCCCAGATATGTTGGCGAAGTAAGCGACATTCATTTCTTCAACTTGGTTCGACAAACGGCCGCACCTCGTGGCGGTGATGGTGGTTCACAAGACGACACGGGAGAGGTTGACAACTACGACATCGATGCACCAACCACGATGGAGTATCTACAGAACCCAATCTCAGATATGCCAGAAAGGGAGCACGTGCAAAAGTTTCTGGGGATCTACTTCTCGACTATACACGTTGCGTACCCTTTCGTAGAAGAAAAACCATTCATGGATAAAGTCAAGAACCTACAAGACGGAAGCCCGGCCCCTGATTTGACCCATTCCTGGCTTTCTCTCTTATGTAAGTATCCAAAGCTTGAACGTATGCGCTTAGAAATGATGCACTGACATCAGCAGATGCATTGCTTGCTCTTGGGGCTTACTATGACTCTTTCCAGCCAGACAGTCGGCCAGATGGCTCATCTCATCAAAAGCTGTTTCAACGCTCCCTACTTTTGTCTCGCCATGATATGCTCGAACGCTCCTTAACGCAAGTCTCGGCTCTGTTAGCCCAGTGCTTTTATCTACTAGCAACATCCGAGATCGACAGATGTTGGGCTTATCTCGGCCTGGCTGTCCGCTTAGCGCAGAGCATCGGCCTACATGCCGACATTCAGGATCATGGGTCGAACAAACCAAGTTCAGAGCGCCCTCAGATTCGGAGCAGGGTCTGGTATTCCTTGTACGTTCTGGATCGGTTGACGGCCCTACAACTCGGAAGACCACCTGCGATCTCGGATCACGACTGTCATGTTCCCATTCCTTCTCGCATAGACGGTCTAGATCCAGACATCAACGATGGTGAGGTACAGCAGATTTCCAAAGAGGGTCGGGCTGGGGAATATTTTGTCCGTCTCATCGAGTTCTCTTCCATCATCGGTCGAGTGCTGAGGGAATGCTATCATCCAAGGCGCGACATCGCAGTCAGGCTACAGAGCACCAAAGACTGCGATTTACTACTTCTGACATGGAAGCAGAAGCTGCCAAGATATTTGAGATTCGATCTTGGCCATGCGTTCGAGAAGTCGATTACTTTGAAGCGTCAGGTATGTTGTCCAGTTCGCGTTGCGAGTAATATACCGGCTGACTCGGATGTAGCGGAACATGTTGGCCATCAAGTTCCACCACTTGCGGGCGTTAATCCATCGACCATACCTGGTCCACACATCTCCCGAGAAGAATCTCTTGACTCAAGATCAAGCATGTCGAGAGTACGGAAAGATATGCGCTACTGAGGCCCAATCCATCGCCTCTCTGATGCATAATGTCACTGATACCATGGACATCGTCATGAACTATCCCTGGTGGCAGATGATATCATGTCTCGTCTGCGCGGGATCCATCATGGTCATGGCAGGTGCTCTGATCAAGCAAGACACTGGAGACGATACCATCGTCGTCACCTTGGAAGAAGACGTTGAGACCTGTATGGCTGTTTTGAAGGCTTTGGCGGGCAACTCTCACGGCTCGAACCTTGCGTGGGATATGATGAAGAATATTCGAGCCCGCTGTACACGCGCTTCCGATAGACCTGCCTCTGATGACACGAGCTCCTTGCCGCCCGGTGCACTTGTTCAACCCGGCCAAGGGCTAAGCCAGTCTACTTACTGTAGCCCCTCAGACACCTACGCCATACCTTCGGTTGCACCAGATACTGCTCATTCTGGCTTCTCTGTGGAGGCGACTGATGGCTTGGATATGAACATGGGGTTCGGGGAAAACGTCATGTGGCCGATGATGATGACAGATACGACATGGCCCGGCTCGTTTCTTGACATGCTCCATCCCTCATACGGATCTCAGGAAAACAACTAGAGCATCGATCATTTGATCATTGCTTTCTACACTCATCATATCGGAAATAAAGTGATGCCCATGCCTCTAAACGCCTCGATCCAATCGAACTCACCGAGCGACGTCTGATCCATTTCGTCTTTCTTTTGCCACATCGTCTGCACAACTTCCCATTGTCTCTCATAGTTAGCAATGTGGTAGCACCGGGCTCGCTGCCACCAAAGAGCCCAAGGACGGCGCGCTGTGGCGTCACAGGACGCAACGAACGCAGGCCACATAATTGGTGCCATCCTCTGTGTAGCGCCCGATGATGTCGAGCGATCTTTGATATCCTCGACTGCATGCATGTGCTCCGCGATCCTTGCGATTATCTCATCCTGATCCTCGCTGCGGCATTTCTGAATGCGGCGGTGGTAATAGACCACCGTAGCCAGGTGCCAGGCATTCGCGTGGTGTCTGAAAATTTCGAGTCCATCTTCGTCCTGGCAGATTGCTTCATGAGCACCATCGCGTTCCAGAGTCCACGAGCATAGTCGATCTCCGAGTGCTTCACAGGCTTCAAGCAGTCTATCTGGGATCGGCTCGCGAGAGCGTTCGTACCAGGTTAGATACTCTGCTAACCGGCAAGTCTCCTGGAGTTCGGCGGCAATTTGAGGCGTGATTCCGTACATATATCCATAACAACAGCTGGATGGACGTTGGGAGGCGGCGGGTTCATCCCCATCTTCTGCTGGGTCTATGGACCACGGTCTCGGCGACGAGGAGAATGTCATGGTCCGAGCCAACAAGCAGAGAAAGTCGCTGATCTCGTTTAGCTGCTGCGTTGCTCTGCTGATCATCCTCCATTTCCGGCGCCGTTTTCTTAGTTGTTTCGTGCCTTGCAAATGTACGGCGAAATCGGCTTCACATCCAGACATAAACTATAGAGGTCAGGTCATTTTCAAAGGCATGAGGAGGTCGATATCCTCACATCTATCGTTACCAATGACAACATGGCCACCATCAAAGTCTTGTACTCTGCAGTCGGCATCTCGATGCTAATGGCGGATTGTAGTAGAAGTAAGGCCTGCTGTCGATGTCGCGCGCCAATCTGGTGGTACCTGACTTGAGAGGGTAGACAATTCCAAAGGTGGAAAGCTGATGATGCGAGCAGTGAGTGAAATATGACTGATTTCACTGTGGCCTTAGGTACTTGTAATCGAAGTTGTGCTGGGGAAGTGAGACTGGATGCTGCTTCTAGTGCGGCGGGGACGTATAGCTGTCGGTAAGGATTTTGAGGATGCTGAATTGGCTGAAGCATTACTGCGACGTGCTCGGCGTAATGATGCATCAGTCTATCTATAACAGCATCACCGGAGATACTGGTAGATATTGTATACCGTAGGGGACTGCCCATATGATATGATATTGTGCCGTTATCGGTCGAATTTGTCCAGTTATTATGGTTGCTAGTCTCCAAAGAAGCCCCCAATGCTTCCTGAAAGATAGCTGGTAGGGACTCGTGAGCAGCGATAGGCTCGGGGACAATATCAATAACGTCCTCTTCATCTTGTTGCCGTGGGTCCGTGTTGATGGGAGTAGAAAGACTTTCCAGCGTCAATGCTGCCTGTGTGTCATCAAAAGCTGATTGAACTGGTGAAGTCTCGGCGTTTGGATTGTTGTCGTTTGCAAACTCTGAGGGAGAAATTTCACGTCCGGCGCTGTCCAAGTTATCGCCGGCCTGCTGTTCGCGATGATTACTAGTCGTCGAAAACACGGAAAATGGTCCTTTCGATGTCAAGACTTCTGAGCTTGTGACACTGTCAAGAGTGTCTAGAAAGCCGTCTATGTCATGCATTCGATATTGAGGTCCTGTGTCTCTGCCTGTTGTCCCATGAGCCGGGCAGTTTTGCATTGGAAAACACAAAGAACTCACCAATTCGAATTCTTCCCCTCCCGTTGCTGCTACTCGGGGGCTTCTCATTCTCATTTAGTGGATCATTTACTCTGATCCACTGTAGCTTGATGCCGTATCCGCCACAAGGAGTCTTTATTTTCTCGCAATTCTTGCAGCTTGTAGGTCTCTCATCGCACTTGACCTTTCGTTTCTTACACGTCCAGCATCTACTTGAATGTGAGCAGGTCTGGCGGTGAGATCCACGAGATTTGCGGGAGACAAGTCATACCCAGTGAAGGTCATCGATCGCGTTGCACCTTTTGGCGGCATGGTCAGGCAACCCAATTGAGGGGAGTAGCGTGATAAGGATGGGTGCTTCCGTAGGCAACACACAAGTCGAGCATTCAACCGGCGGTCACAAGTCACCAATAGTGGCTTTGGAAAGCTGAAATCTTTCAATATGAGGCTGCTGAATGAGACCAACTTCAGCACGCCATCCGGATGAAGTCGGCAGAAACGCAAGATAGCGATGAGTAATGTGGATAGCACTGTTGTACAGTGCTATCAATGAAGCTAAGATCGAACAGCACGGTATCATTGCCGGAAATGCTCCGGATATAGTTCCATAACACTGCGTTTCTCTAGTTGCGGGCTCAAAAGCCTCATTAGCCCGCAAACCAACTCGGTCCAGTTATGCGAATTTTCTGTAGAGGTTCGAGAATCTCACGTTGTATAGCGAATCATGGGACTGGGAAAGTGAGAGGGACCTATATTTCATTTCGTATGATTGAGTTTCGCCCTGAATCAATCGGCGATACGACCAACTGTCCGAGCTGCTCTCACCGCTGTTCATCTGAACGTGCACGATCAAGGGGGCACGATCGTCTGCCCACGACGTCCGCCTCATCAGGTCGTCCGATCTTTTGGCACGGCTTGGCAACATAGCATGACAGAGACGACCCGGCTTCTGCAACCCGGCTCAAACGACGTCTTAGGCGGTGGTCCCACTTAGTGGTGACAGCGACATTGCGTGGTGCTCGAGGATGGTTGCTTTCAGGCTGTGGTGACTGAAACGCTGCACCAGACCTCAAGGCCTCCCTATGATCTGGGCACGCGTTAAACCAACCTGATAATGTCAGAACGTTGGTGGCTGCGACACGCATTCTTTTGTAGTGCAAGGTTACGAGGCCGTCGCCAACTCAGGTAATATCTTATTATAATTCGGAACGCTAAGTAGTTGATATAATATCCTCCTCTTCCGCTATAGGGCTGTGCCTATCCTGGCATGTCCGTCGTGTTCCGGCCAGTGGTCATTACTTTCGACATCATGGGCGTATCCATGGTAATTATATTTTTGTCCAGAACTCTCTTGTTCCGACTTGTTGGTCGTTTCTGTGGCTCCCGACCGTGTTTTCGCCACGTAAATTGGCAAGGTGTCGCTCTGTAATGCGTATGATTCCGGCGCGTGGTCGCGCGCCCATAGTTTTCGGGTCACGATCTGGTTCATAGTCTGGACGGTGGCCTGTTTCGACACGTCCCACCATCTGCGGATCAGGAATCGTGATATGATCGGCAAGTTGCACACGGCTGCGCCAACAGCTAGTTCCATGTACGACCAAAATGTTGTAGTTCCGGACCAGCCTGTTTTGATGAGAGCATTACTTGGTCAGCAAAATGAACAAAGAAGGGTTCACAGTGAACAAAAGGGTGGATTGCCCAAGAGTAAAGAGGAAAGGGCTGGGTTGTCGTACCGAATGCGTCTCCATCACCAGCTCCGTGGTCACGCAACCAGGTGTAGATATAACTATCTGAGGCAAGTCAGAACAATACGTCAATTACATGAGTCAAGACGGCCTACCTTGGTAGAGGAAAAACGGAGTAGCCAGAACCAAGCTGAAGATGGAGGATACCACGGCCCTGTAGTAACGCAGTGTGAGTTTGAGATCACGAAATTGTAGCATGACGGAGTAGCCATGGATGTGTCGGCAGGCAGACTTACAAGAAACCGAAGCAAAAGACAACCAGGATATAATTCCTCTTCTCCTTGTTCACTGGAATTCGCAAGTCAGCGAGTTAACTTTTGACCAGGCCACGCCCGAGGTATGGGGACATACTCGTCTGCGTGATCCTCAACAGTGGGTACATGGGTAGCAAGAACACAGTCACATCGAGGACGACCGTGACGATGCTAACGCCAAAGTTGTAAGTGACATTTGTGAAACAGTACTCTGCTGCTGTGTCGTGGTTCGTCCATTGCGCGGTCGGATGTACCCCGCAAACGAAGACCTGTGTCCCGGTGTATGCCAGCATGAACAGGGTCACGGCCCCAATGAGGGCGTCGATGAGAATGATGTATCCCCGCCCCTGGTGGAGGAAGAGCTTCCGGAAGAGGAACAAGAACGCAAGTCGCACCACTCCGATGCCAACGCCTTGCAGGCAGTTCAAAATGTAGTTGATCTACAGCAATGAGTTAGTATCATCGGTAAGATAACCGAGCCACTCGATCACATACCTGTACGTGGATTGCGTATAGCGGGATGAATACTGGGTGGTCAGTATCCTTGGTGTCCCATGAATAATCACTCCTTGGCCAGGGTCCCTCCGGCAGAGCCCATGGATCCCAATCGTGCCGACCAGTGACACGTTTTACGGCGCCTGCATGTGGAGGTCAGCATCGTGAACCTGGGGGTTTATCCGAGATGCTCGCAAATCGTCGAGTTCGAAATGCTCGCGATCTCATCATATCCGGGCGCATACCATATAGCACAATCACTCCCGTCGCAATAGCAAACAGCTGACAGCAAATCAGTCCACGTCCAAACCGTGCGTGCCAATCAATCCCATTCGGCATTTGTCCGCCGAGAACTTACAGAAGCAAGAATAGCAGAATAATCGTCGGCTTGGGGTCGTGACCGGCGCTCTCGTATCGACGCAACTCGGAGAAACAGCGTCAAGAGGTCGATAAAGGTCATTATCGGTACGATCGCGTACAGCAGTTCGAAGGTGACGAAATTAAAGAAGCCGACATTGGTGTTGTTTGTGTCCTCCGTCAGATATGCCCGCTTATTCAACCATGTCGTCGTTATCGTCGTGACCGTCATTCTCTCATCGTGGCCTTTGGATCGTCGTCGACACACCCGGGGGACGCGGACACGCACTGGGGAAATCGTGGTTCGAGGTTGCGAGTGGGCTGGAATAAAGATTGATCAAAAGCGGAGCACTCCACGGTATGTATATGGGGGAGGACGGGCGAGGAGGACACCCGGCCCTTGGGTGATCGCCCTGCCCTGCCTGCTGCGATTCGCTTTTCCATGCCCTCAGGGATCGCTGAACCTCCCAAGGCCATAGCGTTTCGTAAGGATTAGTTCCAGCTAGCTAAGATTAAGCTCCCACGGAGCAGGTCCTGAGTTGGACGACGAGACGGGGATTCTGGCATCGCATCACAGGCCCTCGCTTCACTGGGCACGTCAGCCTGGGAGGCTTCATGACTCAGTTAGCTGCGTCTGCGTCTGGAAAGGTTATCTTTAGAGCACGCGGCCATTGGCTGGCCCCTATGCCTCAACCGACCATTCGCCTAACCAGAAGAGACGATCACGGCATCTTCCCGGGCTGAAGAAAAAGCGAAAAGGATCTTTTGCAAGAACTTAGAGTGTCGGTTAGGAAGGGATTCGGGACACGGCAATCTGGAACTATCGCATCGCTCTCGCGTACGGAGCATAGGCTTCAACAACTGAAGACTCGAATCAACCGAAACTCCTCTTGCGTGGCTTTCTTTGTGTGCTTGTTCATAGCGGAAACGGAAGTGCTGAGCCGTAATTGGTTCCTTCGATCATTTCGTATCGTTGGTTCAGTCTTCTGGGGTCTTTGTGTGAGAGATTGTGAGCGTAAGCATTCTCCGCCCCTGAACCCTGAGCCCCGGCCAGCCAATACGGAGTTGCTAACTCGTTCAGTGCACCGCCTGTAGACACTCTCCGTTCCAGACCTCGAGCTCTGCCGGTCTTCCTCGAATCCGCCAAGGCAAGGCCGGAAATGCCTACTGTATCACCCAGAGGTTTTAGTGGTGGCGCAGACCATCCATTTGATACCACCCACGCGGGCGCAAATTCGGAATGGCCTTGCCATCGCAATCCGCGACAGCGATCAGACCGTTCGCCGAAGAAAAAACATGGCATGCTTCTAGCTCGCGCCGACCGCCCCGAGACGTCGGCAGCACTGGGCTCGCTAGGCGATCGGCAGAACAGCTGAAAGATAACGGCAGCAGTGGCGCCCAGAAAACTGGTTTCAGCAGATGAAGAGTTCAAGCGAACAAGCACTAGGGCCACCGCGCCATCCCGCAAAGGGCGGGCTAAGCCTGTGGAATGAGGCCATTCGTGATTTCTCGACGCAGTTGTCGAAATGCCGCCGTCTTTCCTGTCCTTGGTTTTATAGACTTGGCGAATCCAGGGGTAGCTGGGCTTCTGGTGACTGCGTTCGCAGCGTGCCTCGGGCTGAGTCAAACGGGAGAGCCCGAAAGGCTGGTTTGCCAAGCCATTCCGGCCCCATTTCCGGACCCCGAGCCCCAGACCTGGCCTGCGGAAAAGCCCACCGAGGACGAGATAATCAAAGGATGCCGGGCGGACCTGACTCGCGAACAGTCGATCTCAGTGGCAGGTTCGCACTCAACCCCGATGCGTGGATGTGTTCGCAGGATCGCGGATACATGCGGACTGATCCGGATTGTAAGGAGTTTGAGCCGGTCGATGACCGGCCAGCTGGATTGACAGCCACGTTTGCAAGTTCCGCCGAGATATCTTGCTGCTTGGACAGTCGGCAGATCGGAGATTCTCGGATGCCGTGGTTTTTGCCGGCAGTGTTGGGGCCAGACTATTAACAAAGACTCTGTGACATTCGTTGGTGGCCTGACAATCGTTTGTGGTCTTTCTCATGGTCGTGGTGGATGCCTGGGGGTTCCAGGGGATTCCGCGTGTCGATGAGATCGGTGTCCGTGATGCAGCATGGGCCAACTGACACCGGGGGACGTCAATCTTTTTGACTTTCATCGTGTTGTTGGTTGGCTCGTGTCTGGTCCGCACGTCGCGCTGGTTGGTCCCAAACAGCAGGGAGGGTTTTTGCCTGACCCAGGAACTGACCCAGGGATCATCTACAGGCTTTAGGTGACAGCTTCATCAGCACGGGCTCGTTGGTGCCTTTCAAAACACCAACAGCCTGTCTGTCGCTGGTGTTTTCTTCAGCACAAGGCTGTTGCGCCGTAACGTTGTTACTTATTGGATATCTATGAATGCCGACGGATACCCCTAACCAGGCAGAGTACTTCAGGGTGCTGCTTATTGGTACGTAAGTACCATACCATACAGATGACGTCTTGAGCTTCAACAAAACGCGACTAATACCAACTAGACCATGACCAACTGCAGCGGGACGAGTTGGGCTGTCGCATGCTTGGTTGAAGCCACTCGCCCGGAAGTTCTAATAGAGGGCAGTTCGGTCACCCACAATCTCGTATACCCCCCATCAAACTGTTCTTCTGTATGGTGAATGGTCCTCGAAATGCCGATTAGGCCGAGTCTGGAAGGCCGCTCGCTTCCTGCAACCGAGACCTGCATCGACCAAGACAGGAGAGAAGGAGAGTACTATGCTTTGGTGCTATAACCACCTTCCCGGTGCGAAGTAGACGACGCATAAAAGTATCCGTATCTCAGGAAAGTTTCGTGTACGCATCAGTCATCAGTGTTCCGTCCAGACCTTCTTCTTGACAACTTCGCTCCACAAGGCTTTCGAAGGCGGCAAGGAGTGGTCTGGAGGTCTACATTTCCCATTTCCATCATTGTCGAGATCTCCGTGGGCAGTTTGTAGGACAAAACGTGTATTGAGCGTCGAGCTGAGCAAAGCTTGCCACCTCAAAATTTCGGGTGTCCATGACAGCTCCGTCTTGGGTAGCAGGCCTGAGTTGGTTCAAGTTGTGGACCTCGTCGGCGTCAGCTGTCCACTTTGGCCATGACTGTAAGGGCCGATGAGCCGCATAAAATGCCCGAGCATGTGCAAAATGATGGCAAAGTCGGTAGACGTCATGGGAAAACCTCCGCCCGGTCCTCGAGGAGTTGGTTTCCGCCGGATAATGTGATGGATAACCCATCCGAAAACTGGAGAACTGTTCCTGTTGAACTCGCATGACCCTGTAAGTCACATTATTTTCCTTAGCACATTGTGACCAGACCGCTCACTCTTCATCCTTTCAGCGATTAATCGACCAAACGCCGTCAATTATTGTTAGGTATCAACAACTGCTATAGTACACGCATACATCTCGTTGCTTATTTCTCAAAGCGCTTGGCAACGGTCTTCCAGTTGACGACGTTCCAGATGGCGTCAAAGTACTCGGCCTTGCGGTTCTGGTACTGCAGGTAGTAGGCGTGCTCCCAGGCGTCGATACCGAGGAGGGGCTCGAGGTTGCCGGTGACGGGGTCCTGGTTGGCGCGAGTGACGACGCCGAGGGTGCCGCTGGTCTTGTCCTTGACGAGCCAGGCCCAGCCGGAGCCCTGGATGCCGGCGAGGGAGGTGTTGATCTGCTTCCTCAGGGTGTCGAAGGAGCCGAAGTCCTCCTTGATAGCCTTCTGTTGGGGGGTTAGCAAGTGTTCACAGGTTTGCTAGGGAGTACAGAGGGGAGGGAACGTACAGCAAGCTTGCCGTCGGGCTCACCACCGCCGTCCTTGCTGGCAGGGGCAAGGTTCTCCCAGAAGAGGGAGTGGTTGACGTGACCACCGCCGTGGAAGTTGATCAGAGGGGCCTGGGCAGCGGCCTTGGCGAAGTCGCCCTTGGAGTTGGCCTCCTGGACGGTCTCAAGAGCGGTGTTGAGGCCGTTGACGTAGGTCTGGTGGTGCTTGGAGTGGTGGAGCTCCATGATCTGGCCGGAGATGTAAGGCTCGAGGGCACCGTAGTCGTCTGGAGGGGCATTGTCAGTGCTGCGATAGGAAGCTAGAGAGACGGCGCTACTAACAGGGCATATCGGGCAGAGTAGCCTTGCCGCGGACGAAGCTGGTGCTAGCCATAGCGGCAGCAGGCTTCGCGGCACCAGCTCGCAGAGCTGTGCGGAGGACGGGAGCGGTTCGGAGGAGAGTGGACGACATTTTGCGTGTTCTATGTCTGTTCTGGTGTCAATTGGTGTTCCTGACGATACTCCAATTCGAGATGGGAGCGTTGGGAGCAGAAATAGAGGGAGACGCAGTACCTTTGAACGTGCAATTGGTGATTGACAAATGCAGCAGAATCGCAATGACAGCTTCAGGATGATGTCAATTGCGGGAGGTTCGGTCGGCTATTACGTGAGGGCACCGGTGGGAGCTCGGATCTCCAGAAAAGCTGCGACTGGTTGCCGAGCGGAGCTCTCCACTGCTCTCAGTGCTTCCAGCGGGCTCGCTGCTTCTCGGTGCACCTTCTGTCCGTTTCTGCGAATGAAAGCAGAATGTCGTCATCCACCCAAGGTGGGGCAGCCTGTCACCTCCAGCTTTTCACAACCAATCCCAGGCAGCCGGGTTCTTAGGTGTGCATTCTTAGGTAATCCAGTCTCTTCCATTGGCCGAGCCACCAGCCACATCCGATTCCTCACTGCCACTTGTGGCTGGTACTCAATGGCGGGGTCAGACTTGGCTCTGGTGGGCTGGCTGCTGGGTCGCGTCAACAACGCAACTCGACGCGTCGAGCTTCGACGGTGACATCGTCAACCGGCCGCTGCTTTCCTCAACATCGACAACACCTACCGCAAACCGGAGCAGCCGCCATGTCTTACTACGACATTGACTCCATCCTTACGGATGCTGAGGTATGCTGGCACTCTCTTCAGCGCTGCACCACACTCCTCCATACTCTGCACAGATCAAAGTATACATGAGCCAGACCAAACAGCTAATGCAACCAAGAAAGTTCCCTGCAAATTCGAAATCGACGCTGCCGACCTAGGCTATCTCGACAACAACCCATCACATGCACTGAAAGCCGGCACCCCGATCACTCTGCCCCTCTGGCTTGCCGAGATGCTCGCCCTCGCCAGCACCGGCGAAGACTCCAAGGCCCCAGTCACTCTCAACCTGCCTCCCGCCCTGTCGAG